AATGGGATGTTTTCTTAATTTCTCTTTCTGATCGTTGTTATTGTATAGAAGTGCAACAGATTTTTGTATATTAACTTTATATCTTGCAACTTTACAAAATTCATTGATGAGCTTTAGTAGTTTTTTTGGTGGTGTCTTGAGGGTTTTCTATGTATAGTATCGTGTCATCTGCAGACATTGACAGCTTTACTTCTTCCTTTCCAATTTGGATTCTTTTTATTTCTTTTTCTTGTTTAATTGCTGTGGCTAGGACTTCCAACACCATGTTAAATAAAAGTGGCGAGACTGGGCATCCTTGTCTTGTTCCTGATCTTAGAGGAAATGATTTCAGCTTTTCACTATTGAATATGATGCTAGCTGTGGGCTTATCATACAGCCTTTATTATGTTGAGGTATATTCCCCCTATACCCACTTTTGGAGACTTGATCATAAATGGATACTGAATTTTGTCAGAAGTGTTTTCTGCACTGAGATGATCATATTTTTAATCTTCAATTTGTTAATGTGGTGTGTCACATTGATTTGCAGATGTTGAACCATCCTCACATCCCTGGGATATATCCCGCTTGATTATGGTGTGTGATCCTTTTAATGTATTGTTGAATTTGGTTTGCTAGTATTTTGTTGAGGAATTTTACATCTATGTTCATCATTGGCATATAATTGTTCATAGTAATTTCTTATGATCTTTTGTATTTCTGTGATAACAGTTGTAACTTATCCTTTTTCATTTCAGATTTTATTGAATTTGGCTATCTCTCCTTTTTTTTCTTAATGAGTCCAGCCAAAGACTTCTCAATTTTGTTACTTTTTTCAAAAAAACAGCTCTTAGTTTCTTTAATCTTTTCTAGTATTTTTTAGTCTCTATTTTATTTATATCTGCTCTGATTTTTATGATTTCTTTCTTTCTACTAACATTAGGTTTTGTTTGTTCTTCTTTTTCTAGTTCCTTTAGGTGTAAGGTTAGGTTGTTTATTTGAGATATTTTTGTTTCTTTCTTTTTTTTTTTTTTGCAGTACGCGGGCCTCTCACTGTTGTGGCCTCTCCCGTTGCAGAGCACAGGCTCTGGACGCACAGGCTCAGCGGTCATGGCTCACGGGCCCAGCCACTCCGCGGCATGTGGGATCTTCCCGGACTGGGGCACGAACCCACGTCCTCTGCATTGGCAGGTGGACTCTCAACCACTGCGCCACCAGAGAAGCCCGAGATATTTTTGTTTCTTGAGGTCAAGGCTTGTACAGCTATAAACTTCCCTCTTAGAACCACTTTTACTGTATCCTATAAATGCTGGGTCATTTTGTTTTCATTTTCATTTGTCTCCAGGTATTTTTTGACTCCCTCATTGATTTCTTTAGTGCTCCACTGGTTGTTTAGTAGCATACTGTTTAGCCTCCACGTGTATGTGATTTTTGCAGTTTTTTTCTTATAGCTGATTTCTAGTCTAATAGCATTGTGGTTGGAAAAGATGCTTTGTATGATTTCAGTGTTCTTAAATTTACTGAGAATTGTTTAATGGCCTGGCATATGACCTATCCTGGATAATGTTCTATGAGTACTTGAAAAGAATGTATTCTGCTGCTTTTGGATGGAATGTTTTATATATATGTATATCTTTCTTTCTCTCTCTCTCTCTCTCTCTCTCTCTTTCTCTCTTTCTCTCTTTCTCTCTTTCTCTCTTTCTTTTCTTTTCTTTCCTTTCTTTTTTCCATCTGGAATAATGTGTTATTTAAAGCCAATGTTTCCTTACTGATTTTCTGTCTGGATGATCTGTCCATTGATGTAAATGTGGCTTTTTTTTGGTCATGCCATGCAGTTTGCAGGATGTCAGTTCCCCGACTAGGGATTGAACCCAGGCCATGGCAACGAAAGCCCAGAATCCTAACCACTAGTTCCCTACCAGGCAACTCCAGTAAGTGGAGTTTTAAAGTCCCCTTATATTATTGTGTTACTGTCAATTTCTCCCTTTGTGTTAATACTTGCTTTATGTGTTCAGATGCTCCTATGTTGGGTGCATATATATTTGCAATTGTTATATCTTCTTGGATTGATCCCTTGAGCATTACATGATGTCGTTCTTTTCCTCTTGTTACAGGTTTTGTCTTAAAGTCTATTTTGTCTGATATAAGTATTGCTACCCCAACTTTCTTTTTGTTTTCATTTACATGGAATACCTTTTTCCATCCTCCTACTTTCAATCTGTGTGTGTCTTTAGCTCTGAAGTGAGTCTCTTATAGGCAGCATACATATAGCTTTTGTTTTTGTATTCATTCAGCCACTCATGTCTTTTGATTGGAGCGTTTAGTCCATTTACAGTTAAAGTAATTATTGATAGGTATGTACATATTGCCATTTTGTAAATTGTTTTGAGGTTATTTTTGTAGTTCTTTTTTGTTCTTCTTTTGTTCTCTTCCCTTGTGATTTGATGACTATCTTTAGTGTTATGTTTGAATTCCTTTCTTCTTCCTGTGTGTGTATCTATTATAGATTTTTGGTTTGTGGTTACTGGGAGGTTTATATATAGTAATCTATATGTATGTGATTAAGTTGCTGATCTCTTAAGTTCAAATGCATTTTAACAACCCTGCATTTTTACTCCCTACCATGTTTACTGTTTTTGCCATCATATTTTACATCATGCTTTTTGTCTGTGTATCCCTTAACTACTTATTGTGGATATAAATGCTTTTTCTCCTTTTGTATTTTAACCTTCCTATTAGCTTTATACATGGCTGATTTACTACATTTACTGTATATTTGCCTTTATCCATGAGCTTTTTCCTTTCATACTTTTCATGTTTCTATTTGTGGCCTTTTCTTTTTCACTTAGAGAAGTCCCTTTAACATTTTTTGTAAAGCTGGTTTGGTGGTGCTGAACTCTTAGCTTTTGCTTGTCTCTAAAGCTTTTGGTGTCTCCATCAAATCTGAATGAAAGCCTTGCTGGTACATTATTCTTAGTTGTAGGTTTTCCCTTTTCATCACCTTAACTATCATGCCACTCCCTTCTGGCCTGCAGAATTTCTGCTGAAATGTCAGCTGATAGCCTTATGGGAGTTCCCTTATATGTAACTTACTGCTTTTCCCTTGCTACTTTTAACATTCTCTCTCTATCTTTAATTTTTCCCATTTTAATGGCAATGTGTCTTTGAGTGCGCCTCTCTGGGTTGATCCTGTTTGGAAGTCTCTGTGCTTCCTGGACCTGGATGTCTCTTTCCTTTCCCAGGTAAGTTGGCTGTCTCCACTTCACTTAGTTCTTCTTCTGGGGTTTTATCCTGTTCCTTCATTTGGAATATATTCCTCTGTTGCCTCATTTTGTCTAATTTGCTGTTTTTATCTCTATGTATTTGGTAGGTTGGTTACATTTTCTGACCTTGGAGAAGTGGCCTTTTGTAGGAGATGTCCTATGAGTCCCGGCAGCACACTCCTCTCTGGTCACCAGAGCTATATGCTGTAGGGGTGCCCCCATTTGGGCAGCGTGCATCCTTTTGTTGTGGAAGGCTGATTACTGTGGGTGGTCTGGTAGGTGTGGTTAGCCACCATCTGGTTGGTCTCCAGGCCCTGCCTCGTGCAGATGCTGCTGGCCACTGGTGGGCAGGGCTCGGTCATGACGCTGCTGGATACAGGGCCCCTGGGGTTCCAAGGACTAGTGCTGGCCCACTGGTGGGCAGAGCTAGATTCTGGAGTGTCCTTTGAGTTTGGAGGAAGAGTGATTTATTTGTAGTTCTTGTCTTTGTTGTATGCTCTTTGAGCAAGAAGTTATATTTTTTGGCTAGACATAGTCTAGAAATAGAGAGGGTTCCCCTGGACCAGTTCTGTGTGAGACTGGCAGAGGTCAGTAAGCACTGGTCTTTTGAGGAGCTTACATGGTAGTTGACCAATGTAGTTATGCGTAGCCATTCCAAGCTGGCCTCTTCTGAAACCCATGTCAGGAAGATGTAGGACCAAGTCAAAGAGTCTGTGAGTTCCCAGGGGCCATGGACCGGGTCGATGTGGTTGTCTCCAGTTTGCTGAGCTAAACCAGCACACAGCACTTCACATTTTGACATTTATTGTACTTACTTCTATGAGATGGTGTTATCTCTGTTTTATGAAGAAAATAATGCCAAGGGAACAAGGTGCCACCTACCCGGTGAGTGGCAGAGCCAGAATTCAAGCTCAGACCTTCTGATTCCAGGTGCTGTGTGCATTCCTGGCCACCTTATCAATTGGATCTTTTCCACGTGGAGTATGTGATAGCTTTTATTGTTCAGACTTTTCATGCCTTGGCTTTTATTTTCTGATCATTCCTAATGATTGCTATTCTCTTTGTACTGATGCAGTCAGAGAAAATCATGAGGTGGATAAAGCCATTTAAGTGTTTCTTGAGAAATGCTATTGTTCAATATGAAATTTGAAAAGGAATCAAATACAGTAGAGTTTCAGCATAATCATATTAAACTTGGAGGTGAATTCAGAATGAATTTGCTCTCATATCAACCAATTTTCTTTTCTAAAACCTTTTAAAGCAGAAAAGCAAAACTTTGTAAGTCAATCCCGTAGCATAGGTGGTCTTATAAGGACCATCCTGTACGTTTCTCTACTGAAAGGGAGAGGAACTAAAACCAGCCTTGTGCCTAGTCTGTGCTGGGTTATTTTTTAATTAACTATAAGAAGTCATCATTACCTTTTATTTTTTTAATTATATCAGTTCCAGGTGTACAGCATAATTGTTCAACATCTGCATACACTACAGAGTGATCACCATCTATCATTACCTTTTAATAAGTAAGAAAATGTGTTCAAAATGAAATGACAGCCCAAAGTCACACAGTAAATAGCAAGCCATCCAAGGATCTGAAGTCAATTCTGCCTCCAAAGCTTTTGGTTATGCTCTGGTGTTTTCTGGAGGAAATGCTAGGATTTAAATATATGCTTGGAGTTTTTGTGCTGAGCCTGTAGTTGCTCTTGGACCTTGTTAAACTTCTGCCATCTGAAATGAACACCTGTGTCCGTTCTCTCCCAGGTCTTGCTGTTTTTGCTCAGTGCAATCACACCTTGAATAACAAATGGAGACCTCAGGACACTGACAAAGCTAAATCCTAATGAAGAGCCTCAGTGGGTCACAGCCACGTAGGAGCTGAGATTCAGCCAAACTGGTAAATGGTTTGATGACAACCTCCTTCAGACATCATATTCATTGATTTTCGTTAGAGCTGAGGACCTGGGGGGGAGGTTTTGAACTTTGTCCACTACTGGGTTTGATTATTGATTGGATTAATGGGCTGGAGTGGCCCAGACAGAGGCCCACTTGCAGGGATTATGGGAGCCCTGAGAGAAAAGGATTCACCATAAGAGAAGGATCAGGTGACGGAGCAAGCCCGTCTTCCCGAGAAGATGGAATGTTGGAGGGAATGTGTAGTTCCAGGTATGTATGTCCTGACCCAGTCAATCTGGAGATACACCACCCTGAGAAGCCGTATACTTATTCCAAAACTGAGCACTTGCCATTGCTCAAAATATTTAACAAACCGCGACATCATCTTCAGAGTCCCCTGAGTGTCCATAATGGTAAGAAACCGTTCTTTCAAGAAGAGCAGGCTTGGAACAAGAATGATAAGTTATTCAGAGCCGTATCTAATTGAGGCAGCTGAATCAAGACAATTATCTTTTGGGTCAAAAACCATGTGTTCTTGTACCCATGAGGGTGCACCTGGAGGAGGCCTTCCCGCCATGCTGCAGGAGTCATCGCAGCCTCCGGTGGCAGAGCTTCATTCTCTGCCCACTCACCCCTGCATGTTTTTTACATTATTATTTGTTTAATTGGAAAGTAAAAGCTGCCCCTGGTTGAAAAAGAAAACAGTTAACAGTGCAAAGGATGCAAGTGAAAATCTCCCTACCACACACAGACGATCACGTTTCCACTCTCTTACGTGAGATAATGTGGTTCTAAATGGTCCCTTCTAAGAAAGGAAGTGAGGGCCTGGCACCCACACTGCTGTCACCTTTCTCTCCCACTCGCCACGCTCCTAATGGAGCACTCCCGCGGGTAAGACTTTTAGCACTTCGCTCCACAGAGAGGCACAGATAATCAAGAAATGCCCAAGGCAGGCCTTTGGGACTCCCCAGATTCTTAAACACCACCATAGCAGGGAACTGCCACTGCTCTGTACCCTGAAATTTTTCTTCTCCAGCTCTCTCACATCAGATCATTTTCTGTTCACGTCTACAGCCGGCACTAATGGTTGGACTTCTTTTGGAAGAAGGGAGAGACAGAGGGAGGAAGGGAGGGGGAGAGAGATGAGAGAGAAGAAAAATGGGGGGGTGGCAGAAAGAGGAGAGGGGAAGTGGGGGACAGGACTTTTCACTCATGGCTATCGGGTTGTTATGAGTTGAACTGTGCTCCCTTCAAATTCATATGTTGAAGGTCTAACCCCCAGTACCTCAGAATGTGACCTTCTTCGGAAATAGGGTCATTGTAGATGACCAGTAATTAGTTAAGTTAGGATGAGGCCCTACAGAAGTAGGTGGGTCCCTAATCCAGTCTGACTGGTATCCTTATAAAAAGGGAAATTTGGAAACAGACACACGGGGAGAACACCATGTCAAGAGGAAGACGGAAATCAGGGCGATGCTTCTACAAGCCAAGGAGTGCCAGAGATTGCCAGCAAAGCATCACAAACCAGGTGAGAGGCGTGAATAGAACCAGCCCTGCTGACACCTTTTTTTTGGACTTCTGGCCTCCAGGACTGTGAGAGAATAAATATCTGTTGTTTAAGTCACTCAGTCTGTGGTACTTTGTTAGGGCAGCCCTAGACAACGAATGCTCCAGTCAAAGGCAAGCTGTTGGCGCTCCAACCTCCCACATCAGTCAAGGAAGCCCAACAGTGAGGAGGAAAGTTTCGATTCTGGTGCCAGCATGCCCCTCACCTCCAGTACTTGCCGGCCCTGTCTACTGAATCCCCCCATAAATCTTCCACTTTTCAGTGGGGACCTACACAGTAACAAGAACCAGATAAACTAAAGGAGGCTATCACTTGGGCCCTCCCACTGGTGCCCTGAGGGCAAGACTTAGAAGTTGCAGCCACCTCAAAGTTTGCCTCCTGGAGTCTCTGTGCCAAATGGACAGGGAAATGCTTCACGACAGACTTTTGAAGATGTTCCTCTATCTCTTCTAGCATTTAATGTTGCTAAAGAGAAATTTGCTTATGCCTTTGAAGATGACCTTTAAAAAAAAATCTCTCTAGAAGCTTTCCAGTGTCTATCTTTGAACGTTCACAGGAGTGTGTATAGGCATGGGTCTTTTTCTACTCCCTTGCTTGGCCCTTGATGGGTTCTTTTAATTTGAAGACTTATCTCCTCAGTTCTGGGGCATTTTTTTCTATTATTTCTTCAATAATTTGTACTTCTTCATTTTTTTCTATTCTCTTTTTCTGGTATGCCATTTAATCAGATGCTGGACACCTATATTTATGTATTTTTTCTCCTTGTGTTATTAATGTATGAATATTTATTTTGTATTATGTGTTGTAATCCGATACTTATTTATTTTGTTGTTCAGATGGATCTAGCTTTGGCCATTGGGAACTCTTTCAGTTGGCTCCTATGTCTCTTTGACATAGCCCCATCTGTGTGTGTGTGTGTGTGTGTGTGTGTGTGTGTGTGTGTGTGTGTGT